GTATAGGTTTTATCAGAAATATTTAACCTCCAAAGAGTTAGAAGCATAATTTGTAGAATTCTGGAACATTTTGATGGATATCGTAAAAACGCAGAACCCTGTTCGAATAATCATTAGAACCTTTTTGATAGAGCGCCTCAAGTGCTATCGATTGCTCAAAACACATTTTTAGTGTTTTCTAACCTTGAAAAGTTACGACAAAAATACCAACTTCTAGAGCTTTAAGATGCCAACAAGAGCTTCTAGCTGAAAAACGGTTGAAAATTTCCAAATAATCAATAGAACGTTTTCGATGCAGCGTCCCAAGGGCTCCCTTTATCCCTATAGGTTTTATCAGAAATCTTTAACCTCCAAAGAGATAGAAGCATAATTTGTAGAATTCTGGAACATTTTGATGGATATCGTAAAAACGCAGCACCTGCCCGAATAATCATTACAACCTTTTTGATAGAGCGCCTCAAGTGCTCTCGATCACGCAAAGCACATTTTTAGTGTTTTCTAACCTTAAAAAGTTACGACAAAAATACCAATTTCTAGAGCTTTAAGATGCCAACAAGAGCTTCTAGCTCTGAATCGGTTGAAGATTTTCAATTGAACAATAGAACCTTTTCGATAGAGCATCTGCATGACTATCTTTGCTTCTAAAGACTTATCAGAAATCTTTAACCTTTAAAGATTTGAACCTCTTTGAACGCACGCTTGCCATGTACCCCAACACGATTTTTGGTTGCATCGGGGTGTTCAAAAAAATTAATTTCCTTTAAACTAGCCAAGGTTGGAAGGCGCGTGCAACTGCATTAAAAAAGCAAAACTTTGCTCTTATTATGCTGAAAGTTTCAGGTTTGCCAAAAAATCTGGACAATTTTGGCAACTGTTTGAAGCGAAAATCACCACGCTTCTTAACGTCTGTTCGGTTGCGTCGATATATTTTCAAAAATTAATTTTGTCAAAACTAGGCCAGATTGAACGGCGCCTGCCACCTCATTGAGATGACAAAAGTTCACAGTAAATGTCCGCAAAGTTTGAATTTTCGCAAAAAATCTGGGAAAATTTGGCAGATGTTTGAAGCAATCCTTAATAATCGTCCCAATTTTTAACATAAGTTGGCAAAAAAATTGCAGGTTGAGCCGCATACGTACGCGACAAAAAGCTGCAAAACATTTTCGGAAGGAAAATTGCAGAGCTGGAGCGATTGTGCATCAAAAAGCGCCAACTGCTGGACGACAAAAAAAAGCTTGGGACAGAGAAATGATTTAATCGAGTTGTATTAAAGAGTATTTTGAAAAATTATTTTTTCTGAAATGAGGCAAATAGGCAAACTTTACACGCGCTTGCCCTTTCGTTTAGACGAGAAAAAACCCACTTTAAATGTCCAGAAAGTTTGAATTTTCGAAAAAAATCTAGGAAAATCTGTCAGATATTTAAAGAAAGCCTTGTTATTCGTCGAAAGTTTCAACAAGAGGTGGTAACAAGATCTCCACCTAAACCGGTAATTTCAAAAATTTATTCCGCTTAAACTGGACCAGGGTGAAGGACGCTTGCAACTCCGTTAGGAAGTGGAAACTTCACTGGCAGTATGGGGAAAGTTTCATTATTGGGAAAAAATCTAGGAAGCAGTGGCAGCACTCGCAACGCGCCCCAAAGCAAAACTTTTTAACACATACAAGACACTTTTTGCACACATTTCCTCCAAACTAGTGCCAACTTGCTAGTAAACAAAAGAACGAATAATATAGAGATACTTCAGTTGTTAGCTGATGAGCTCAAAATCGCTTTGGCTGCGTAGGCTTGCAGAAAGTATCGGCTGGCCCCTGTACGGTGAAACCCCAGAGGTGAATGAAAAAAGCGGAGAGAGCGTGCATTTTTCGCATCGGTGTTATGGTTTATGATTTATAATATAATATATTTATATATCTACCCTAGAGTTCTAAGTATTACTGCCTACTTCGTTTCGGAAATTATCGTTGCCCAGCAGTAGTGTCGCGATTTTTTCCCCATTCGCACATTATTAATGTTTGGCATTTTGCGGCACAAACTTTCATAAATCTCGCTGGTTGCGACTGGCTCGGGCATATTTAGAACTGAATTGAATTGAATTTAATGTGCCCAACGGCTCCGATCCTTTCCTCTTTTCGTTGCATGGCCTTTCCTTCCTTCGGAGCGGTTTTTCGCAAGCCAATCAAAGATTTCTTATTTACTACGACACAAGCTGTCGACGTTTTTATCATAACAAGAACGTTGCACAAAAGAAAAACGGAATTTTGAATGTTAAAAAACTAAGTTTCTTTCCGTCTAGCTGTCGACGTTTTTACCAAACTAAGAACAGTTTAAAAAATGAATGGAAATCGCGAAACAACCAAGCAATTGACCATAAAAGACAAGCTGTCGACGTTTTTATCATAACAAGAACGTTGCACAAAAGAAAAACGGAATTTTG